CTCATATGCACCCACTATCTGTTCAATTCCCTTCCTCTCTCTACTTTTCCTTCTTCCTTCATAAAAGAGGCTGCTGGATTGGAGCACAGCGCCGGAGACGCGGGCCATCGCCTTTCGCTCCGCCCTGCCGCCGCGGCGCCGTGAAGAAACCGCGCCGCATACGCGCATGGGTGAGTTTTTCCCTCCTCCAACTGCTACAGACCTAGGCATAGACGAGACGTCACTGAAACCGTTGACGCTCTGACCACTTGCCTGGACCGTCAACTGCGTACAGTTGCAACCGCGCCACTACTATGTCCGCGGACATGCCCTCTCCTATCACTGTGGTATAAGCTGAGAACTCTTCACGCCCTTCTCGTGAACACCAACCCCACGTTTTTCACTGGCAGCTGATAATTGTTCGGCAAGTATAAATGCAGCCAAAGCAACGAACATGAAGAGCGCGATAACATGCAAAAGTAGTCAACCATAAGTGATAGGAATGGATAAAAGAAAGGATCTGTTCAAGGTGATTTGTCATGGATTACAGCACTTTTAACAAGAATCTCTTATAATGCTGACGATATCAACAGAAGTAGCACCGAGCTATATAAGTAAAATGAGAGATCTGCACTGTATGCAACAGTTCTGTCTTCATAAAGCGTGTTCCATCACAGGGACAGAAGTATTCACTTCTCGCGTATTCTTTTTCCAGGACCATGTTCAGCACAGAGGACTGACAGTGCCTCCGGCCACGGAACATGCTTTATAATGATGAACATCGCAGTGCAAAATCAATAGCTCATAACTGGTACTGAAATGAGGTACGAAAGTGGCAAGATAAGGCTAGGCGTTTTGGTAAATTTCCCTTTCTGACGTTTGGTAAGTTCTTGCGTTACTCTGTCAGAGAATCCGCACGTGGTGATTCTGGTACGAATACTTCTGACTGTTGTGACAACTCTTCGCTCTCCTCTGGATCCGCATTCAGCATGCCCAACAGCTTGTCCTTCATTTGAAAGCAATTCTCGTACGTTACCACATCGTCTGGCTGAAATTCAAGAAATTCCTTGAAAATGCAAACTGACTGACTAATCTGAAAATCGAATACTGGGGAAACTTAGAGGGGTGGAAAGCGAAGTGGTAGCTCCGCTAACCGCACTTAGGATGGGGTGAAGTCACTAGCACAGGTGTAATCCACGATATCAGTGTGCCAGACTCGCGCACAAACCAGCAAAATATTGCCTGACTGAATGACTTGGAACTTTGCAGCAATGTCAATTTTCCCTTGGAGCGAATGTCGGCGCCATTTGCAAACTTCTTCTCTATCCTCCTCGCTGAACGGTTGCTTTTATTGGTTTTTCAGGTGCGCTGGGTAGTAAAAGGCGTCCTCAAATTTGTTCCGTACTCGGAGCATTTATTACTGTGACGAGCTTGATGAGATTAGGCAGCAGGAACCCTGACTGAGTGCCAAAGCTAACATATGTGTTAAAACCACATTACCAACAGGTATACTCGTCGTAGGTATACTCTTTATCCCTGAGACGGGGTAGGCGTGGCATTCGAACATGGCACGGAACTGGTTACTCGTGGGATATTTAAATTTCAGACAACCGCCATCTTGTTCTTTGTTGGAAAAAGACGTGACCACATTTGGGTCAAAATGAAAATGTCTTTCCAAGAGCACAGCCACCACGACGTTTAGTTGAAGTACGCAGCCACGCCTACCTCATCTCAGGGATTTCGAGTGTAGCTATAGATTGTTGGCAGTAACTGATCAACCAGCGTAGAAAAATGCCCAAAAAGCCCTCGAAAACGAAAGCCCTAAACAAGCTTCTCCCCTTTATTAGCAATTTTCCCCAAGAGGCGGGAAGATCTTGCGAGCACGGACGAGACAGAAGAGATGACAATGCACCTCCAGTAGCGCTCATAACTGGGTGGACCTCTACCAGTGGGTGGGATCGCTACCGCGAATGAAGGCCTCAGCGCACTGGCCACTTATTTTTGAGTGATCGAATCTTTAGGAATGCATACCGCGTAATTCAAAAAAGGAAAATATTCTGCCCTTGAGGAGCACGAAGTTTGTCGCCACCAAGGACCCGCACTTTTTGACACTCAAAGTTGGGGTATTTTCAAAGCAGTGTGCTTCCAGTACTATTGTCTTCTTGCATTTGCATCATCCACTCACCATTGCCCATTTCAGAATGATCGTCAACTCGGAGCGGAATTCATCTTCGCATAACTTTCGCATCTGCTCTTTATCACTTCGACGAAGCATTCGCAGCTCATCTCGCTCACGACAGATCTGTAGCACAAGTCGATAAATACACTAGTGTTAATTAATATTACATATTACGGCACTGTTCAGCTTAATGAGGGGGAGGGGGCATTGTGCACGTTCACCAGTTCCTTGTTAGCTCAATCCAACTCTCTTCTTAGTGAGACCTGTGAACTGTTAAGGAGCGTGCAATGGTGCAAAAGAGCCAGTCACAGAAATAAAGAGATTTCCATAAAGTGGTCTGCACAACCGTCGCATAAGGGTACTGGTATCTATCCCCGCCCCCACAGCCGAACCACGCCCACATTTCTATACCTTTAACACGTGTTCTTCCCACAAGTTCCTACCAAACTGCTCCATATCTTGCTCAAGTAGTTCTTCTTCACCCATTCGTCGGAATCGGTCCGCATGTGAAACTCCCTGAAATTGTTTGAAAAATAAGAGACTTAGGCACTTCTTCCTCAGTCGTGATCACCCACGCAAAAATTTCCCCTTGAAGCTGACGCTTTTGAAAAGACGTGAGTATGAACAGTTCTTGTCGAAATGAAACCACTTCAAGAAAAGATCATTACCATTCCGCTCCAGCCAAATACCTTCACTGCTACCCCTGACGCAAACTGACCTGTTTCACGAAGAAATTCAGCAATTTGCGTGTCTGTCCAACAGCTCTGTCGGCCCGCTCCTTTTCTCGTTCAAACTAAAGAACTTTTTTTTATATTGTTTTCGACACGATGAGAATAGCAAGAAGATCTAATACGATCTCAACCATAGAATGTCAAGAATCTATTGAATTTGAAGAAATTCCGCACCGTCTCCTTGTCGATGGTGCCCTTTCCAATGGTCCCATTCGAAATCGGTGCTACCGGTGGCGTTGACACAGACGTGCTCGGTTTCGTGACAGAAGTGGATGGTTTCGGTGCGGAGGGAGTAGCTGGCTGTACAGCAGGTGAAGGTGCAGTTTTCACTTCTGAAGGGAGAGCAGCATTGTACAAGTTTCCAACAACTTTCTTGAATGTCAAAAGTGAATCAGTAACAGTGTAACACTTCATTCTGAGGGAAGCCTGGAAGAGATGCTAAAATATTCCCCAATGAAGGGACGTGACCAGAGAATTTCCCCCAACGGAAATACATGCCCTGGTATATTCATATTATGGAATGTCCTTCCGTTAGAGAAAACTTTTCCAGAATAGGCCCCTTCCTTCAGGACCCCTGTCCTCTGTATGCCCTCCCCTCCCCCCACCCTACCTACCACTTACAAGATCGCGAGAACTTTCTTACATTCCCCGGAGTTCAGTCAGCCACCAAACATTTTTTCCAGGCGCAATTAAATCCCCCTCCCCAACAAACCACGAACGACCCCTTCTCCTCGGAAATCGAAGTGGAAATGTATGAGATGGCATACCTTTAGGCGGTGCTGTGTTGGAGCTTTTCACTTCCGTTGCAACAGTCTTTTTCTCATTTAGTTTCTCATTCTCCTCAATAACTGCCTGCTTAAGTCGAGCTTTCGTTTTCGTTTTTCTTCGGCTGAAAAGGCATACAGAATAGAGACGAAACCGAGTTATCGGATCTCCGAGCTTTTCAAGGTCCTGTACGGTCCTTGTTTCGCTGGCTTGGCGTGGCGATATAAGGGTGGGGGGATGGAAATGGCATTGCGCTGGGCCTTGTTCCTACATTATTAGGTCGTTGCAAAAGAAATGCAGGATTTCGTTTTTTTGTATTTAATACTTATTTTATTCCAATAAAATGTAAGTGTTATATATCATTCGAAAGCTTATCCTACGTCCCTCTCCCTAATTCTGATGCTTCTTTCTAAATGATACTTCAAGATTGGTTGTAATTCTTTTTAGAGGCCACAAAATCGTTGAAGGCGTTTTTGACATCGTCTTGGTTTTTGAAGCCTTTCTCTCTAAGATAGTTGTCCAGATGCTTGAAAAAGTGGTGATCGGTGGGCGACAGGTCTGGTGAGTATGGTGGATGAGGCAGAGTTTCATAGCCCAATCCGTTTATTTTCTGGAGGGTAAATTGTGCAAAGTGTGGTCGGGCATTGTCGTGGAGAAGAGTCCGGAATCGTGGAGTCCCTTCATATTGACCAACCTTGGGCACATGCGTTAAGGCTTCTGATGCATTTCGTCGATTTGTTGACAGTACTTCTCTGCCGTAATTGTTTCACCAGGATTCAGGAAGCTGTGATGGATGAGACCGGCGGCAGACCACCAAACATGAGTTCATCTTCAAGGCTGGTGTTGCCACAGCGAAACTTCTGGAACCAACGTTGGACCGTAGATTCGTTGATACTTCCTTGACCCCAAACTTCGTTGATGTTCCGAGCTGTATCGGCAGCGTTTCGTCCTAGCTTGAACTCATAGAAGAAAATAGTGCGAAATTCACGTTTCGACATCTGCAATAAAATGTCAATAAAAATTATAATAAAATGAATTACAACCAATCTTGGAGTATCATTTAGAAAGAGCATGAGATGAGCTTCCGAATAGTATATAACACTTCATATTAAAGTAACATATTATTGAATAAAGATAAGTATGAAGTAAAGCAACAACATCTGCATTTTCTTTTGCAACGACCGTAATACCATTGTGATGAATGCGAGGATTAAGCGGTATTCCTAACCTATACCTTTAATTCATTAATGATTCAAATCAATGGTGAAGAACAGGCGGCACTGCGCCAAACTCACTCCCACCTTCCACGCGCTAAAGCATCGCAATCGAGCAAGACTATATGAATGCAAATATAGCAGTGATCAGCATAACAAAGAGGAAAACAAAAACTGAAATCGAACAAAGAAATAGCCGGGAACCCGCCTTCCTAAGACGCTTAACAACTTGCGCTATACCAGTATTGATGAGGCATTAGTGGCATTTACTGCTGGAAGGTGTAATGAGCGATTGTGGGCAAAAGTCTAAAGTTTTTGATAAGGCCTAAGGATGAAAGACCTTGGAAGGGTGAAGCTGATTCTTGTGTTGGTTTTAAAATGTTTCTGGTGCTTTGCTCGTCAGGCTGTTGGAAAAGTTTGAATGGCGGTTGACACGATATTGGCACTTGGTTCAAAATGAGCAATGATGCAGTACATGGGAAATTGGTGAACAAGAACGCAGGTAAAACGTCAAAAATCTGCAAAATAAGCCTTCGCTCTTGCAAACGATACAGGAAGCATATTTTGGACGAGCTCCCGCTATGGTATGTATGGCTGCATGATGTGCACTCTTCCCACACGGACGGCGCAGCTCGCTTAATGATTAGTCGCTTCGACCCATATTGTACTTCGCAAATGAAGAAAGTAGCACCAGAGGATCGGTCGGAGCACTTGCGGCGGATTGGGCGCAGTGGCATCCGGGTCGGCTATGTCACGGGCGGCGAGTGGGCGTCCGGGTCGGTATGTTGTAGCCTGATATGGCCCTATAAGTTCACCTTCCTCGGGGAAGGAGCCCAGCAGCGCCTGCTTAAGAGTGCCGCATTCAGTCCTGCTAGGTGTATTAATCCTACACGTCTTGCACGTCGTGCCAACTGCCTTTAAAAATCATCATTGATGCGAATACATCAATTTCTTGGAATAACACTAACCAAGTCAGGCACCGTGACCGGTTCTTCCTCATCACTTTCTTCACTTGACATTACACGACGGTTTTTGGAAGTGCTAATGGCAGCTGCTGCACGTTTCGTTGGCGGCCGTCCAACAGGCACTGACACGTTCTGACGACTTAAAGAAGAGCAATGAAGATGAGAAGCATCATGTGAGAAGTACCAGTGAAGCTCCATCACACCAACCTTATTTGGAGGGGCAGGCGCTTTGGCAGACACCTTTCGCGGAGGCCTTTCTGGGCTCGATTCGGATTCACTCGTTAGTTCCTCTCTACGTTGAGCGACACGAGATGAGCGCTTCAGCGGCTTCGATGAAATAGGAGGGGATGGCGCCCGGCGTGGAACCTGTAATGACTACTCACGTAACATCAACTGTTCAGAATGTTAGACGATTATAAATTGCCGGAAGTTAAGACCCTGGTTTCAACGAACCTCCCTGTTCTTCTGCGATGTTGCTGGAGTAGATAGTGAAGCAACTGGGCGTCGAGCCGATCCACTACCGTTCGTGGTAGCTATTGAAGGGCCGCGATTGGAAAGGTCTGGTCTGCGATCCGTGCCTCGACCCTGAATGCTCGAAATATGACGGCATAGAAAAGAGCTGTCTTAGTATGAAAAATGACAGATTAAAAAGAAAAAGGAGCAAAGCAAAGAATGTGAGGTAAACTGACCGCTGTGCTTCCCAAACTCTTCGCTGGTGGATCTGGTGACTTTTGTCGCACTAGCTTGCCCTCTTTCAGCTGAAAAAAGGCATTTCACTCTTTATAAGCTTGCCCTCTTACAGCTGAAAAGGTATTTCACAATCCATGTCAATTTTCACATTCTTACATATTCCCCACAAGCTACACAGTCAGTGTATACATGTGGAAAAAAAGGATTACACGCAGAGTTCGTGTAGAGACAAGTGGCGACAGTCACTTCGAGCACGGCGCAAGTTACATCTTCTATCGCCTGTCCCTCAAGCAAATCAATCCTTTCGATACGGTCGGTTGAAACCAAAATGACCGTATCGAAAGGATTGATTGAAAAAAAATTGTATGGAAGGAAAAAACACTGATTTTAAGCCGACATGCCCTTTGAAGACAATCCCCGCAACTGATATCGTGGACAGTGGACTCTCCAGGGAAAAAATAAGCAAAAAAAGAACATGGAGAACATCCTAGGTGAAGACCTCGCAGCCTCTCCGGACGAGTTCTCCAGAAGTGCTCGT